CGACTTCTACGTTGGATTGTTCTCTTTGAAATAGCGTAACAACTTCAAAAATGTTCGGATGGCTCTTCCTGGCAAGTTTGTTGAGTTTGTGATTCCACCCCTCGACGTTATTGTTAGTGCGATGCCCTTGGTTACCAAAATGGTTCCAGATCTCAGGTTTTCTTATCCTCTCCTCTCCTCTCCTCTCCTCTCCTCTCCTCTCCTCTCCTCTCCTCTCCTCTTCTCTGTTTGAACAGCACGGGCGCTAATCTAAACTACGGCAATCCGGTGTTTTTATAGCAATTACTCATTTCTCGCTTTCGTAGGACAAATACCCCAACTTGGGTTTTCGCTTTACTGATACTAGGGAAAATTGGATTTTCGCTAACCAGGCACGACACCGTATTTCTTGTTATGCTAGGCATTGTTTTATATGCAGGGATAAAGATTGCTGTGTGTATTCTTTTTTCGCATGGAACAATTTGAGAAATCACCGTTGAGGTTTTTCGCTATCTTGATATTTCCACAACAATATGTTGACATTTCATCATCAAAAGACAACAAATATGTCTTTTAACAGTCAAAGTTAGGCAGTTATGATATATGTATCCATTTTCTCTCAATTTCGGTTCGTTTCAATTTGTCAGTCGCGGTAATATAATTGTGGTTGCTGCAATTAACAGTGAGTTGGTAAAGCTGACTTATGGCACGGGGCAAACAGAAGTTGTAAGTACCGGATGGTAAATATTGTTGAATGAAAGTTTGATTAGAATTAATAAAATAGATTATGTAGATGACAAACATGAGTACAGATATACAATAAAAGACTTTTTATTACCGATGGTGTAACAACAGGATTAACTTGTGTAATTCAATACGGATTTGCTTATATTCTATTTCCAGTGACAGATTATGACGAGACATAGTTTTAGGTTGGGGTTCCGGCTTATCTACCTCACATAACTATTTGACACAGATTTCATGGACTATGTTAATACCTCGGCTTATCCATGATATCGGCTTATCTACGGTCATATATGGTACAGTGTTTGTGAGTGCGTGTGCTCTTGTACTAGTCCTGACTAATGCCGATTTTATTGTGCTAGCCAACTGAGAGATACCATGCAGTTTAACATGAATACCCCACTCACACACTTATGGGACTCTGAGCCGACCAGTCCTTGTTTTAGCCCCTTTATGGCCAGCACCAGGCAGGGTAACAACAAGTACCATCTTTTAACATCTTTTGTTATGACGTGGCTGGGGATTGAACCCCAGACCTCCTGCTCTCCATGCTGGACACTCAACCACTAGACTACGGAGGTGGTTTTGCTTCATAAAGAAAGTTAAGTCAATGTATGTGTGTATAATGTGCACCCCCTTCTACAGTATATTCTGTAAAAAAAATTATAATAAACAAGAAAATGTTTTTAGGGAGTTAGTTCTGAGCGTTTATAAAGATTACTTGCAGATTGGTCTAAAAGTTGGTCATGGGGCACTTGGGGGCACGGGTGGCCCAGTCGTAAAATGCGGGCAATTCGCTGTGCAGAGTTGCGTCCCTGGGGCGCTCCAGAAACCTATGATTGAAACGTCTGAGACCTGCATCACTTGGGGCTTCCTCCCACATTAAGCTGACACGCCGTGATATAACTGTTATACAGTTAAAAGCGGCGTAAAACCCAACTCACTCACACTCATGTGGCACTTATTGGAGCAGTACTTTTGATGCAGTGAATATGGTATATAGGGCAAGGTTGGGGGCATAGTTGATGGGGTATAAGGAGCAATATTGCCACATGCGATGGTTTGGGTAAAAAGATAACATAGTGACTATCGTGTGAGCAAAGCCTTGCACTTACATCCTTCACATGCTGAGGCAGCCGTTGGCACACGTCAGAGTCTACATGAGGACATGTCATGGGCAACAGCGTGAGAATGAACTTGTCAAGGTAATAGTATCCATGTGAGCACTAAGTATCTGTTGCTTGTCCTCGTCCTGTAATGGTTTGGCCATCCTCCATAGGAGCAAAACCCACAGAAAGTTGGAACAGTATCAGAGTGCCATTTTATTAGCATGGAGCATCTGTGACAGACACTCCTACAAAACAGTTATGAAATAAAACAAGTAGCAGTTTGAGACAAAACAATAACCGTCAAACAATTATTATTAGGAAACATTCAAGAAGTTATTAGGGGCAGTCGGGTAGCCTAGTGGTTAAAGCGTTTGCTCGTCACGCCGAAGACCAGGGTTAGATTCCCGACATGGGTACAATGTGTGAAGCCCATTTCTGGTGTCCCCCGCCGTGATATTGCTGGAATATTGCTAAAAGCGGCGTAAAACCATACTCACTCACTCACTCACTCACTCACTCACTCACTCACTCACTCAAGAAGTTTAGGACCACCTCTGTGGTCGAGTGGAGAGAGCATCTGCCCAGAGAGCGGAAGGACGGAAGTTCAATCCCTGGCAGTGTCATACAAAGAGATGTTAAATGATAAGCATCCATTTTGAATGATGACTTCCATTATCAATTAGTAGTGAATTATCAATACTTCTATTGGACTCTTCGCTGAAGCAGGCACGTGGAGGCATGTTTGTGAAGGAAGTTGATACAAAAGGCCCACATGAAGATCCGGGGTAGAAGATCGGCAACCCTTACTTGTTATTACAGAATCGGGTGGTCAGGCTCACTGACTTGGTGCATGTCATCATGGCCCAATTACATCAATGCTCATGACGTCCATCACTGGATTGTCTGGTCTTGATTATTGATAGACTGCTATCATGTCAAGGGAATATTGCTGAGTTGCATAAAACAACAAAGGTGATACAGAAAGATTATTTATGACACCTCAAATTATCTATAAGATAAGATAAGATAATATTTATTGCAGAAACGTTCCATTACGGGACAGATGCAATTTTAAAAGACAAGACATTATAATTCATATATACATATATACAGACATACATAACTTACATTCCTGTAGACACATACAAAAACAAAACAATCAATATTACATATTTGATGGTATTATTATACATAGAATGTCAACAGTTGATTAAGAAGGGGTATTTATTGTTTAAAATGATAGATATGGAAACAAATGCTGCTTCACTGCTTCATTATTTGACAGGATGTAGTAAAATAATTTGTCTTCATACCTGGACATTTACATTTACATTTTGTCTGGATAATTTTCCAAAGAGTATATTTCTTTCTTGAGTGTGTTTAATACAGTGAAGTAAGTAGTGTTTTTCGTCATCAATGGTTGAACATGTAGAGCATAGCCTCTGATGTAGTGGGGTTGGTGGCTTTTCCAAGTTCAATATTTAATTTATGGTTACTTAATCTTAGTTTAGAAAAGTGAACTCGATATTTTTTTACTTTACAGTGACTGAGATAGGGTTCTAATTTTATTTCATTTTTAACTATCCTGTATGTCCTAAGTCTGTTTCCTGTGCCTCTTGATGCATTTACATCTTGAAGAGATTCCTTGAAGAGGGAGTTGAATTTAGATTTGATTGTCTCTTTGAATATTGGTGATAGGAAAGCTGAAGTAGTCAAATTGTGTTTCCTTAGAATAGATTGAGCTGGTAAACCTATACCCCGGTATGTTTTTACTTTGGTGTACAATCCATTCATTCATGATAATTTGAATAAACTTCTGATTCTTTGTTTCTATTTTCATGGTGCAGAATATAAGACGCAAACCATTGACGTCACAAGTTGTGTAAATTGTGCCAGCACCCCTTCATCATGTAGCAGACAGGAATATGTTTCTCTGCTGGAATATGTATGGAGGGCTGACGTGTGACCTCAGCGTGAACTCCGCGGCTTGTTGTGACGGTGATGTGGGGCAGTTGCATGCTGCGGAGTCCCAACAGAGAACATTAATCAAACACTGGCAATGGGCATTCAGAGGTCCCTAGGCAGGCTTCTGGCAAACCAGATTATAAATGTCTGACAGTTAACATACTCTACAATCTGTCACCTGTCCTACATGCGTTGTCTCATCATGTGAATGCATTATTCATGTCCCTGGGGCAGGGGCTCCTACTTGGTCATCAGTGGTAAAGATGCACATGCACCAGTGGGGAGATTCAGATTGGCCCAGTGGGTGAAGTGATCTATGGCTCACATAAAACCTGGGTTGGATTCCCTTATGGTGCAGATGCACCAGTGGGGAGATTCAGATTGGCCCAGTGGGTCAGGAATCTATGGCTCACCTAAAACCTGGGTTTGATTCCCTTATGGTCCAGATGTACCAATGGAGAGCATCTGGCTGGCCCAGGGGGTGAAGTGATCTATAGCTCACCTCAAACCTGGCTTTGATTCCCTTATGGTGCAGATGTACCAGTGGAGAGCATCAGACTGGCCCAGTGGGTGAAGTGATCTGTGGCTCACCTAAAACCTGGGTTTGATTCCCTTATGGTGCAGATGTACCAAAGGAGGGCATCAGACTGGCCCAGTGGGTGAAGTGATCTATGGCTCACCTAAACCCTGGGTTTGATTCCCTTATGGTGCAGATGTACCAAAGGAGAGCATCAGACTGGCCCAGTGGGTGAAGTGATCTGTGGCTCACCTAAAACCTGGGTTTGATTCCCTTATGGTGCAGATGTACCAGTGGAGAGCATCTGACTGGCCCAGTGGGTGAAGTGATCTATGGCTCACCTAAAACCTGGGTTTGATTCCCTTATATGATGAGGGTGAGATAATCACCTGCATGATCTGTTGGTCAAGCTTGGTGAAAGCATTACAAGTGGGAAACATAAGGCTGACCCAAGGGAGAAGTGTTCTCTGGGATCACCTAAACCTGGGTTTGAATCCCTCATATAATCAGCCCCATCAACTAAACCACATAAGCTGAGACACCTCGGGAAAATAGGAAACAAATTGGAAATTTAGCTATGTCTGAAAGTAACCACCTCAATAGAACACCGCAAAGCAGTGACAAGGCCAAGACTCGGTGCTCATGATCTTCAAATTGAGAGAGGAAGATACTTAAACATACCTTCTGTAATATTAACGAAATAGAAGATGACGAGCACTTTCTGTTGCAATGCCCTCTCTACAAAGATCTGAGACTGGAGCTAAAATCATCACCCACCTTAGATATGCACCAATATCACTTAAAATATTACTATATCCACCAGTTCTTTCTACAATAATTACCTTTTCTTCCTTCTTCTCCCTTCTTTTCCTTTTTGTCCTTCTTTCCTTCCCTTTTCCTTCCCTTCTTTCCTCCTTCTTTTCTCCTTCTTTTATAATTCTCCTTAGTCTTTTCCTTTTCCCCTCCTCCTCCTCCTCCCCCTCCTCCTCCTCTTTCTTCTTCTTCTTCTCCTTCTCTTTCTTCTTCTTTTTCCAGGTCCAATATTGCTGTACTGTGTGTGGTGTTGCAGCTGCATGCTCTGTCCTGTCAGCTCCACCTTGCCTCTTGTTTCTCCCAGCAGGGGAGCTAGATGGGTTTTTCTGCTCCATATGTCAGTTTATCACATCAGGTATTGCAGTGACAGATGCAAATTGAAGTGATCACTGGAAACAGAAATCATTAGTTTTTAGCTCGGCCAAGTCAAGTGAGCTTACGTTGTGGCCTATTTGTCCATAGTCAGTGGGTGTGTCACATGCTTCTTCTCAATGATGGCACCCCTATTTGTTCAAAGGGTCCCTATCCGATTTGTAGTATGGCCGCCTCATCAACCATGAGTAAGCTATTTATGGCCATTACTGAGTCATTTTTGTTCAAACTGAAATGTAAAATGGTTTATAGTTAGTCGTCGGGATCAGCACTTATTCCAATTTTCATATTTTAAGTACAGATGTTATTTGCATTTTTTGCAATATGTTTATTATATTTACCTATATTTGACCCTGCTCTTAAATTCCCTCATAAGGCATATTTTGTTCTGTAAACTTGTCCGCCCATAGAATTGCCAGCATGAGGAAGCTGAACATTGGCATGTATATTTCTCTATGTCATGACTTGTTCAGATCATTAGATTTTAGTTATCGTTTTTAGGCCACAGTGTTTATGTAGAAAATGTTTGAATATCATTGATGACAGCAACTTTAGTGTCTGTGTTTGTTGTCTCATTTTAAACTGTTGTCTACATATCTAGAAAACACTGTATAGAGAGACACTCGATATACACATCACCTCCAGACCCATCAAGAACAGGGGTAGAATAGGCCTTGAACAACCCATGCTTGCTGTAAAAGGCGACTATGCTTGTCGTAAGAGGCGACTAACGGGATTGGGTGTTCAGGCTCACTGACTTGGCTGATGCATGTCATCGTATCCCAATTGCGAAGATTGATGCTCATGAGGCATATCACTCGATTGTCTGGTCCAAACTCGATTATTTATAGACCGTCATATAGGCCGAATATTTAACAACAAACAAACAAACATCACCTCCACATGAAATCACCAAGAGAAGTGTCCTTCAGTTATCCATCTTCAACACTTTTGACTCATCCATGTCACTTAATAATAATGTTAAGATTAAATCAATGGAACATTTTACCTTATTGGGAGCTAAAAAGACTAGAAATGTCAAGAGAATTGGATTACATGTTTTTTAAGACTGAAACTTGTCTGTTCCTTCTCCCTTTAATTCTAATACATTCAGAGTGTTAGTTGCCTCTGATACTTGGGAAGTTACATACTTTTATGCTCAAGTGGTAAACCGCATGAATCATTTTCCAGGCCTGGAAGTGGGACAACATGTCAGATTTGTTGTTCCATATAACTCAATTTGAAGCAAAGGTGCTTATTTCCCAACACCAGCTGAGGGTATTGCGCATTAGACTTGCAATGGCATCCTCCCAGAACTGAACAAGAGGCAAATGTAGCGCAAATATCAAAGGTCAAGGTTGTATGAAACAGATAATGCTCCCCAGATTCTGATGGGGCACATATGGGTCGACTTCTCTTCAAGGTTGCAGCAACTTCATGTTTTTAGAACGTCCTACCTCAAAGAAACTTCTCCCATTTAGCTTCTTTGCAATCTAAAGGCATCCCCCCAAAGAGGTGTGGTGATAAGGTTTCTGTTAGGGGGGTGGGGGGGGGGGTAGTTGTGGCTTCATTCTTGTATTCAGATAATGGCTTGGCTTCCGTAATTCCTGATGTGCGTCTAAATTCAAGGATCAGCATGGTCAGTTAACAGTCATTTTTATGTATTGATAAATGGAGAATCTCACCCGAGTGTCTTTTGATATCAACTATATCAACACAAGTGCACGACACATTACTTTTATCGTCTGTATTTATGCACACACTGTGGTCATGTTACCTTTCTGTACTAAACCCAGTATTTTTTAACCCCTTTTCAACATAAGTAGCTGATAGCAGTGAGCGTTGATTGTCACGTATCATTGAAAGGCCAGAAGATGTTTACTTGTTTCAGGTAACATACCCTCAGACAAGTCTTTGTTTCAATTGGGGCGGTCGGGTAGCCTAGTGGTTAAAGCGTTCGCTCGTCACGCCGAAGACCCGGGTTCGATTCCCGACATGGGTACAATGTGTGAAATCCATTTCTGGTGTCCCCCGCCGTGATATTGCTGGAATATTGCTAAAAGCGGCGTAAAACAATACTCACTCACTCACTTTGTTTCAATTGCTTGGGTCTTGTTCCCTCCCGTGACCCATATTTCACAAACATGCAACAGCAAGAAAAGACATATTTTCTTGTCAGGTTTACTTGCTTATAAAATGGAACATTTTGTAAAAAACATCTATATTGGACTTGCAACCTTTTCATAACTTTTCACGTGATCAAATAATATGTTTGATTTTTATTTCAAACACCATGTCTGAAACACAATTTGTTGCCGTGTGATTAAGAAAATGACCTTAGCATAAATATGTCAGTAGGAATTTGGAAAAGACTGATAAGATTTGACAGAAACAGAGCAGAGTATCACCTGGTATCTTGCGATACAATTTGTATCACAATACAAACTGACGATACAACTGGTATGGCGATACACCACATCAAATCGTAAGAAATAATAAAATCACTGAAATACAGCTCTGAAACCTCTTTCCCATACATTTATTATCTCAAGAACTTTAACAAAGAAAACCACGAGAACAAAACAGTGTTAAATGAAGAGTTGCTATCTGATGTAACAGTTACCGGTAGTCGGCGCGTCCTCAGCTACTACGTCCTTGTGTTCTGCCATTATGGGAGATAACTCTTTAGTTCCTCTTCTATTTATAGCATATCGCGATCTCACAAACTGACGAGTCAAGAGTCTTGTGTACCTAAGTATCGCTGATATTGTAGGTATCGGTGAATCGTTACAGCTCTGCGCCCTGTTCCACACAGCAATCGTTGTGCTTAGACGATAGTAGCTCCCATACTTTAAATAGACTTATGTCAGACCTAGCGTTTAGATTGCTTTGTGGAACGGGCCCCTGGACAGAGACCTCATGGTTTGAAGCGAACTATGCAAGGGAAACCAGGAACAGCCGTGTATTTTCTTGGCCTAACCTGCTTGCTACCAGATTCAGTGGGACAGATAGATCGGCAGTTAGGACTTTCTATGCTTCAGTGTAGAAATGAATACTAACTTTCTATACCTCAGTGTATATATAAGAAATAAATGGCTCATGGTCGTTTATCGTACAATAAAACACTGCAGGAAGAATAAACCATGGAGCTGCTTGGCTTCTGTAATTCCTGATGTGCGTCTAAATTCAAGGATCAGCATGGTCAGTTAGCAGTCATTTTTATGTATTGATAAATAGAGAATCTCACCTGAGTGTCTTTTGATATCAAATATATCAACACAATTGCACGACGCATTACTTTTATCGTCTGTATTTATGCACAAACTATGGTCACGCTACCTTTCTGTACTAAACCCAGTATTTTTAAACCCCTTTTCAACATAAGTAGCTGATAGCAGTGAGCGTTGATTGTCACGTATCATTGAAAGGCCAGAAGATGTTTACTTGTTTCAGGTAACATACCCTCAGACAAGTCTTTGTTTCAATTGCTTGGGTCTTGTTCCCTCCCGTGACCCATATTTCACAAACATGCAACAGCAAGAAAACAAATAAAGACATATATTTTTTCTTGTCAGGTATATTTGCTTATAAAATGGAACATTTTGTAAAACATATCAATATTGGACTTGCAACCTTTTCATAACTTTTCACGTGATCAAATAATATGTTTGATTTTTATTTCAAACACCATGTCTGAAAATTTTGTTGTTACCGTGTGATTAAGAATATTGCCTAAGCATAAATAGGTCAGTTGGAATTTGGAAAAGATTGATAAGATTTGACAGAAATAGAGCTGAGTATCACCTGGTATCCTGCGATACAATTTGTATCACAATACGATACACCACATCAAATCGTAAGAAATAATGAAATCACTGAAATACAGCTCTAAAACCTCTTTCCCATACATTTATTATCTCAAGAACTTTAACAAGGAAAACCACGAGAACAAAACAGTGTTAAATGAAGAGTTGCTATCTGATGTAACAGTTACCGGTAGTCGGCGCGTCCTCAGCTACTACGTCCTTGTGTTCTGCCATTATGGGAGATAACTCTTTAGTTCCTCTTCTATTTATAGCATATCACGATCTCACAAACTGACGAGTCAAGAGTCTTGAGTACCTAAGTATCGCTGATACTGTAGGTATCGGTGAATCGTTACAGCTCTGCGCCCTGTTCCACACAGCAATGGTTGCGCTTAGACGATAGTAGCTCCCATACTTTAAATAGACTTATGTCAGACCTAGCGTTAAGATTGCTTTGTGGAACGGGCCCCTGGACAGAGACCTCATGGTTTGAAGCGAACTACACAAGGGAAACCAGGAACAGCCGTGTATTTTCTTGGCCTAACCTGCTTGCTACCAGTGTCAGTGGGACAGATAGATCGGCAGTTAGGACTTTCTATGCTTCAGTGTAGAAATGAATACTAACTTTCTATACCTCAGTGTATATATAAGAAATAAACGGCTCATGGTCGTTTATCGTACAATAAAACAAGGCAGGAAGAATAAACCATGGAGCTGCTTGGCTTCTGTAATTCCTGATGTGCGTCTAAATTCAAGGATCAGCATGGTCAGTTAGCAGTCATTTTATATGTATTGATAAATAGAGAATCTCACCCGAGTGTCTTTTGATATCAAATATATCAACACAAGTGCACAACGCATTACTTTTATCGTCTGTATTTATCACAAACTATGGTCACGCCACCTTTCTGTACTAAACCCAGTATTTTTAAACCCCTTTTCAACATAAGTAGCTGATAGCAGTGAGCGTTGATTGTCACGTATCATTGAAAGGCCAGAAGATGTTTACTTGTTTCAGGTAACATACCCTCAGACAAGTCTTTGTTTCAATTGCTTGGGTCTTGTTCCCTCCCGTGACCCATATTTCACAAACATGCAACAGCAAGAAAACAAATAAAGACATATATTTTTTCTTGTCAGGTATATTTGCTTATAAAATGGAACATTTTGTAAAACATATCAATATTGGACTTGCAACCTTTTCATAACTTTTCACGTGATCAAATAATATGTTTGATTTTTATTTCAAACACCATGTCTGAAAATTTTGTTGTTACCGTGTGATTAAGAATATTGCCTAAGCATAAATAGGTCAGTTGGAATTTGGAAAAGATTGATAAGATTTGACAGAAATAGAGCTGAGTATCACCTGGTATCCTGCGATACAATTTGTATCACAATACGATACACCACATCAAATCGTAAGAAATAATGAAATCACTGAAATACAACTCTAAAACCTCTTTCTTCATACATTTATTATCTCAAGGACTTTAACAAAGAAAACCACGAGAACAAAACAGTGTTAAATGAAGAGTTGCTATCTGATGTAACAGTTACCGGTAGTCGGCGCGTCCTCAGCTACTACGTCCTTGTGTTCTGCCATTATGGGAGATAACTCTTTAGTTCCTCTTCTATTTATAGCATATCGCGATCTCACAAACTGACGAGTCAAGAGTCTTGTGTACCTAAGTATCGCTGATATTGTAGGTATCGGTGAATCGTTACAGCTCTGCGCCCTGTTCCACACAGCAATGGTTGCGCTTAGACGATAGTAGCTCCCATACTTTAAATAGACTTATGTCAGACCTAGCGTTAAGATTGCTTTGTGGAACGGGCCCCTGGACAGAGACCTCATGGTTTGAAGTGAACTACACAAGGGAAACCAGGAACAGCCGTGTATTTTCTTGGCCTAACCTGCTTGCTACCAGATTCAGTGGGACAGATAGATCGGCAGTTAGGACTTTTTTATGCTTCAGTGTAGAAATGAATACTAACTTTCTATACCTCAGTGTATATATAAGAAATAAATGGCTCATGGTCGTTTATCGTACAATAAAACACTGCAGGAAGAATAAACCATGGAGCTGCGTGAGATATCAACATTATGTACAGCCTCTTCTAGAATGATGAAAAATGTACAAGCTTTAAAAATATTTACCCGTATTTAAATAATAATGACTCCTTCAATAGATTCCCACTTGGGCAGTGGCATATTCTCACAATCCTTATGTCGATTACTGACGCCTTTTCTCCGAATGACGATTGTCATATCACTCCTGCTTTTGGAGGCGATCATTCAGCCATTGCATTTATCTACGTTGCCCAGCTACAACTAAGGGGAACAACTCACGAGACACATCCCTCTCAAACATAACGTCCTCCAATATACGTCATCAAGTTGCGAGCGCATGTTCGAATCTCCTGAAATGATGTCATGATAGAACAATGTTTTGTCAGGAAATAAACCACAGTTTGTTTATTGTTCATTGTTCTTTGTGAGTTATCACGTAGGTATCTTATATAATTGAACAATAAGGTGAGGTGAAATAGGGTCTAACGTCTTGTCCAAGATTATTGCACTTATATAGCAACGTACATGCACATGTGTGTGTGGCTGCTTGTATTAGACCAGACTAATGCCGATTTATAGTGCTAGCCCACTGAGATACCATGCCGCAGTTTAACATGAATACCCCACTCAGACACAGTATACTGACTCTAAGCCAACCAGTCCTTGTTTTAGCTTCATACAGGGTAACAACAAGTACCATCTTTTGACGTTTGTTGGTATCGAACCCTGGACCTTCCGCTCTCCGGGCAGACGCTCTACCACGAGACCACGGAGACGGTCAATTGAATAATAACCTCTTATAAGCCTTTGTCATTGGTCAGCTTGAATGCAAAACACAGATTTGACCAATAGAAGACATGGAATGTACGATCTTAAGATTTATTCCTTTTTTGTTGTAAGCGAAGTAGGGTCAAATATCATGAACGTTCTGCAGGCTTTGCTGTGTACAATACGTGAATATTTACATCTGCTATTTTGTGGCGAGCTATTCATTGCCTTGAAGAAGTGGCATTGTGTGAAATCACTGCCTGCCCGTGGCTGGTAACTTTTCTGTCGGGATGCATTATATTTTCTCCACCTGCCCGACTGTCTGGCAGATAATTTTAAGAGTACTTACCTATTCATTTTTATTATTTACTTAAATTGTTCGCAGTATTTCAACTGAATCAAGATGCGATTTGTCTCTTATTTCTTGCGATGTTTTGTTATTTATGATGTGTGAATGCAGGCGGTAGGTAACTTTGAAGATGGCCAGGCAACACTTATGGGTTGATCATCTGGCCGACTTTCTTTGGGGGTTTTCTAATTATTTCAAACACTGAGAAGTGGACACATTGTTCAGTTGATGTATAATTTCAAATTGGCTTTCTTTATTTCTAGGGCTGCTTTTGATATGATGTTATGCCCAACAAGAATGTGATTCATATATTCCTATCCACAAATCAGACTCGTGAAGATCCGGGGTAGAATAGGTGTTCAGCAACCCATGCTTGCTGTGAAGATCCGGGGTAGAATAGGTCTTCAGCAACCCATGCTTGCCGTGAAGATCCGGGGTAGAATAGGTCTTCAGCAACCCATGCTTGCCGTGAGGATCCAGGGTAGAATAGGTCTTCAGCAACCCATGCTTGCCGTAAAAGTCAACTTTGCTTGTTGTAAGAGGCGACTAACAGGATCGGTTGGTCAGGCTAGCTGACTTGGTTGATTCTTGTCATCGTATCCCAATTGCGTGGATCAGCGCTCATGATGTAAATCACAGGATTGTCTGGTCCAGACTCGATTATTTACAGACTGCCATCATAAAGCTGGAATGTTGCTGAGTGTGACAACAAATAACAAACAGTGGTCAGTTGTGTGTGCCAAATGTACTTTCCCTTGGTGAGCTGGGGAAATGATCCCTCAATACACTTATGAAATAAAAGTACTTTTCCATTATAAATAGTCTGTAGGTTACCCTATTAGATAAGT